CATTTATGAAGCTCAGCAACAGCAAATGCAACATCTTGCATCTGAGACAGAATTACTCCATGCAACAGTAGAGGCTGGGGATCAAGCAAGCAGCTAGAGAGCAGCTTTATGGAAAAATACCCAAGTGTCCTGGCAGGCAGGAAGCTGAACACAAGTCAGCAGCATACACTCATAGCAAAGGCTGCCTTAAGGCCTCAGGCTGTATTAACAGAGCTGTAGCCAGCAGATGCAGGGAAGTGATTATTTAAGCATCTCTGAATCCTTCACTCTAGTACAGTGTCTAGTTTTGGGCTCCTCAGAGCAAGACACTGAAACAGGGAGCCAAAAGAACAGGATGCATGAGGAAAGGCTAAAAAAATTGACGTTGTTTAGTCTTACACAAAGAACGGTTAAAGAGGGATGGGAGCTTTGTTTTCTTTAACTACTGAAGGGCACTATACACATAGAAAGCAGACAGAGGTACCACAGGAGATGAGCAGCGACTGACCCAAGCTGCAATAACAAAATTTCCAATTAGCCACCACGGGAAAAAAAAAATAAAGTACTGTGAAGGTGGTCACACCTTGGAACAGAGGCCCAGAGAGACCTCTTGGAGGATCTTCATCCCCACAAGTATTCAAAGCTAGTTTAAATAAGGCCCTGAGCCATCAGATTGAGCTGGCCTTGCTTTAAGGAAGAGGAAGAACAGAAGCACTGCACCAGATGACCTCCTAAATTATTCTCTGATTATCTAGTCATTTCCTTTTGTATTTGTTGTATTGGGCAAGTGCCGTCTTAGTAACCCAAAACTGCTCCTTGTGACATGCTCTAAAAGGACCATGGATGGACCTGATGCTCCTAGTCAATGGATGAGAAACTATCTTCACATTTCCACACTCAGTGTGTACTACTGAGCAAGATTCTGAACGCATTTTTTTTTGCCTTTTATTGCTCACAGCATTAAGAGAGGAGCGCAATACCGTCATTGAGATGAGAGCAGTACATCTCAATGTATTGCCTAACCCCATGTGCACTGAGTTATACAGTCCTCTTGAATCAAGGAGCCTTCGCTGTCTCATGTCACACCCTGCTAGGGCCACGCAGGCTCAGCGGCAGCTCTGACCGCGGAGATCCATCGCCGGGCACCTCTGGGTGGCCCGAGCCCCGGGTACCGCCGCACGGGCTCTCCCCGCCGCCTGCCCGCACCGCCGCAGCCCTTCCCCGCCGCCCGCTCGGGCCTTGCCTCGCAGCCTCACCACGCCCGGCCTGCTCAGGCGGCCACCCTCGCTTCCCCGGACTCTGAGGAGGGGCGCAGGGCCGGTGGTCCGCGGGCAGGGAGCAGGACGGCCGGGACGAGGCGGAGGAGGAGCCACAGCCCCGCGCTTGGATTGTTCTTACCCGAATTTACCGCCAACGGTGCCGCCATCTTGGACAGAAGGAGGCGCGTCGCAGCGCCGGCGCCTGATGAAGGCCCGGCCAACCCGCCGGGCTGTGGGAGCGCGTCCTGCGACTCCCGCCTTTCCCGGCTTCGGGACAGCACAGCCGGCGGCAATCACGAAGCGGCCGCTCCCGCGCCAGCGGCTCCGGCGGGGAGAGCGGAGGCAGCGGCAGGGGCAGCCCCGCGGTCGGGCCCCGCGCCCGGGCTGACGGGAGCTGTAGTCGCAGGTTGATGGTTCGTCGTGTCGGGCGGCTTCGTGTTCGTGTACAGACTTTACTGAGGTGGCTGCGGAAAAGGGAGAGCGTCGGCGTTCTGCATTCCCGCCTTCGCACCTCTGATGTAAATAGCGCATCAATTCCGTGCCGTTCAGTTTCTCTTTCCCCCTTCCTTTTCCATGCCTCTCTGAGGGGAGTCTTTCCTTCCAAGCCCTGCCCTATAAGCCATTTTCACTGAATATGGTTAAATACCTGAATTCAGATGCTGCACTAGGAGATAAATGTATTAGATTTTTTCTTTTAAACTGAGAAAAAGATTACTAGAATGGCTTCAGCTTCTATGGTTTCAGCCTGAAGTCTTCAAAACAAATTTTTGTTTACAATCTTGTGAAGGGAAAAAAAAAAAACAACGAAAAAAAACAAACAAAAACCCAAACCAAACAAAAAAAACCCCGACCAAATAAACCCAGCCCTAATAGGAGTTATCCTGTGAAGAAAGCTGCATTTAAAGTATCAGACATTAAGAAAATAAAGCAAAAAGCATATCTGTACATATACATATCTGGAGCTAAGGAGCAAATATCAGTATCTTAGAAGTATTTTGTGTCTAAGGTTTAGTTACCACCCTCTGTCCCAGTAGCAATCAACTCTCCACCAGAAATTCCCTCCTGTGCTACCTTCAGGATAAAGGATTCCACCAAAAGTATTCATTTTCAGTTCCAATAGTTTCCCCTCTTGAACTTTATTAAGACAGTATTTCATGGTTGCAAAACCTTGTCCAATGAACTAGACTCAGGGGAAATTGGCAAAATAACTATCTTTGCTTCTCTGGATCTCCCCTATAATGTGATGGCAGAGAGAGCAGTGGTCCTGGGGTGAGAGTGAGTTGGCAAGGCAGCTATAAGAAAAAAGAGATGGAAAGCAGAGAAACTGTCTCACAAGGATTAGTCAGAAGGAGAGAAAAGGAAATTTTAGAAAAGATGGGAAAAAATTCTGTCCTGTCAAGAACAGCTTCTCTCAGAGTTCAATAAATTAATCAGTTCTCATTAATTTGGCCTAATTTGTTGATTTAGTCAAAGGCCCTGTATTTCCTGGAGATTTACCTTTTCCCGCTCTTAGCCATTAACTAGACTAGTCCTATAGCAATGACAATGATAGTGAATTATTCATTTTATTCTAGGAAAGGAAGAGTGCCAGGCAGGAGGTGAAAATAGAAAATAAGAAGTTATTCCACAAGCAGCTGAACTAAAGCAGCCTTGGTACCTGGGTACAGCATTCCTGTACCTTCTCCTGTGCACCCATCATGTAAAGCCGTAGTTCTGCTCCTACGCTGCTCACGTGCCACCCCAAGCCCCATGACTATGAGAGGCAGGTATCATGATAAATTTGGAGATGCATGTGCCACAGCAAACATAATGGAAAGCTTAAGGTTTTGCTTCAGCCTTTCCAAGCACAGCAGTCCTAATTTTGATCTTTTTCCTTTATCCATTCTCTGATTTTCACAAAGTTTTTGAGCCCTTTAGCCTTTGATCAGATTAGGCTGGAACTGGTTCAGAAATTGCAACAAGTTCAAAAGTTACTGAAGAAGCTCAGCAGACAGTGTGATTTCCTAGGCTGCATTTCCTTAAGAAGCATGAGTTTTTCAAGAAGAGAGAGAAATAAATAATTGAATTTTTTTTAAAGCCTTTCCCAGGCATAAGAGCTGTCATATTTCTTTTGGCATTCAGATGCAGCCAGATTGCACACACTTTTTGTTAAACTCTGTTGGAGGAAAAAATCCTTCCAAACCACTGCAGATTTAGTATTTTAAATTTCCAGATAATTCTTTCCCCTCCTTGCCAATTGGCCATAGCAACAAGAAAAAAACTACCAGCCTGAAATAGTGGATGGCATGGGGTAGGTCATTGGGCAGCTGAACTTCAGAAGAAAAATACCACATTTAGGTCCAGCTGCACAGCATTTATTATATTCTTTCTCTGTCAGCAGTGTGGTATTTTAATGCAAAATAGTTGTGACAGTACAGCTCCTAGTATGGATGAAGTAAGACAGGCATCTAGATACACCATACCATACATTCTGCACATATTTATATTGGCATAACTGCATCCATCCATGCTTTTATGAGTAGGCAAGTCCATGAATAGTAATTCTTGCTTATTCTCACTTTATTTGCTGTCCTTTAATTTAGGATCCTATTGTTTACCCAGGATCACTGGCTGGTTTGGTAGTTTATTTTGGACAAGTCACTGCAGTGAAAGAATACCTCATTCCTCTCCCTAACAAAAGCTCTCAGCAAGTTCTCCAGTACAGAAGGGTTCAGTGAGGGACACTGGTGTCTTTCATCCTTAATTACTAGACAGAAACCTGTGAAGTATCAAAGGTAGGCTGACACTAAATACCTAGGATGCATATAAATTCCCCTGGATTCCAGGGAAAGGAGGTCCCAGATCACCTGTAGGGTAGCGAATTTTGCTTATGTGGTGAGAGACCTACACTAATTTCTATAGGTGGAAATAACTACTAGTAATAATGAAAATGAGCTGCACAATGGGAACCTGCCCTTTAACTGTAACTTCTAGGTGGTTTGTGATGTATTACAGGTGTAACATTCTTAATTTTGATAGTACTATATTTAGTCCCTATGGTTTATAGTCAAATCACATATCAAGATATGAAGATGATGATGATGATATAATTTATTCTCTTCACATGTTATTATTATCAGGAAGAATAATTATTAGCCAAAAAGACATGTTGTTCAAATGCCCAAGAGGCCATGCTTAATTTCCTACCTTTAGTCTTCAGTGTCACTATGATCACATCCTGCACGACTGAGTAAAATGAAAAAAGGCTTTTCTGCATTGCAGCTGAAAAAGTTGCCTTGTAGAAGTGCATCTGCATTAATAGACCAGCCTTGCATTGTGAAATATGCCTCTTTCTCAAAAAGCCAGAAGCATTTCTGGCTACTGATTAGACCATAAAACTTCCTAGAGCTCTTGTTTTGACTGACATTTCTGTGCCTCTCAGCTTACTGGTCTGTAAAAATAGGTATAACATCTCACAGCAGGCCTGGAATGCCGGTTGAATGCATCTTTAGCCTGGCCCCATCACCTGAACAGGGAAAAGTAATTTATTTTTGGTTATGTTAATTGGCAGAGTAAAGAACCCTGAATTCTCTTACTATGCCTGCTAATTTTCCTGAAAAGTTCTTAGCTGCCTATAATTCTGTCTTTGCTCCAAAAAGTGTGTTTTATACATGGAGATAGTTAGCTTGGCATCAAATCTTAGAAAAAAATCTGAGACCTTTCCCTGGAGTGTTTCTCAAGGAAATAACTTTATATTTTCTCTATCTTCCTTCCTAGATATTTCTAGTGCCACCATGGTGTCTAAGCTCATCAGAGAAACTGCATGAGGTTGTTGCTACCTTGTGTAAGTGGTTTATCTAGTCCAAAGCAACAAAGAGCTAAATGATCCCAAAGTTATATGAATACCTTTCATGGGGTCTGGGGGTAGGGGGAGAGGAGCTGAACAACAGCAGGTGTTGCCCTTCCTGTGTAGGTGGGGATAATTGTTGACGATAGGCATCTGAGGAGAAATGAATGCCTTAATAAACAATATCGATAATTTTCCTGCTTGTCAATTGGGTCTTTATGATCCCTGTTTGGGCTTCAGAGGTAAAATGAAAATGCTGTTCTTGGCCGTGTGAAGTATTGTGAGTTATTTTTTCCCCAATTCCTTTGGGGCCCTTAGAGCTACCTGTCTTGTTATCCTTTGTTCTCTGTCCTGGAATGAAGAATAGCCTTTCTTTTTTTCTGTAATAATTTCTCCATTCAGCTACTGAAGGTAACAAGGCAGTTACTAGCCGTGGAGATAATCTGATTATTGTAATCATGTAGCTGCTAGTAACAAGAGGTGGAGAAACCTACAACTGAGGAAATGCTGGAAAGACAAAGCATGAGCAAAGCAGAGATATTTGGTATGGTAAATAGAAGTCTTGTCACATCAGCTGCCTTATTGATATTCATTCTGTTCAGTGATTTACATATCAGATTTACAGATGGTTGATGTTTTTGTTAGTTGCCAGTTCCACGAATTTAGTCTTTATCCTGAAATTCACTCTGAGCACTTTCTAAAGCATGTAGTGTACATTCTGCAGCTGACATACACTTATTTCATACTTTTGGGTTCCCATCAGAGAACGGGTGGGTTGGAATAGGTGCAATGCTACAGAAGTGTTATGAGTTCACTTGGACAACACTGAAGGTGTGTAAAGTTGCACAAAAATCTCTGTGCTAATAATGTAAAGCACAGGGTTTCTGTAATTATAGTGTACGAGATGGGAGAGGAAGCATGTTAACAGTCAATCGAAGCCAAATTGAAATAAATCATTTCTTTATATTTAAAAACTGAGTGAAATTGATATAGGAAAAAGTGAGACTCAGGAAAAGGGTATCTTGCAATGCCATCTCTACTGCAATGTAAAACTGCTTCACAAATTATGCAACCCTTTTTTAAATTATCTTCCCAGCACTGTCTGCTTGTTTGGAGTTCTCTGGGCACAAGATAAGAAGCACCCTGTACACAAAAAGTGTACACGACATTTAGCTTGTGCACTTCTGACAGTCTGTTACTGAAATACTTCCCCCGTCCCGACACTCTGAGATATCTTACTTGAAGGAAAACCCTGTTTAAATAGGTAGCATAAGAAAGGATTTGCTTTCTGCTCCAGTCCATTTTTTGTTTCATTTAAGTTTCCTGAGGATCAGGAAGAATTCTGTTTGGGAGCAGGAATACAAAGGATATGGACTGAACAAATTCAATTTCTGGAACAAGCAACTGCATTAATTGGCTCTGATGTCAAAATATTTCAGTGCAAGCCACATGTCTGTGGAAGTCACGTCTTCTCCTGCCTTATTTGATTATGACTATGCTGCAGAAGGATAATGAGAGATAATATTAGCTCTTCACAGAATAATGGGGCAATTGCTGAGACAACATGTTCAATAACTCCTACCAAGATGACACCTTAGACATTGGAGCACTAAACTATACTAGGTGCTTGAACAGTCAAAGCTGGAGTTTATGGTTTCTGTTCATTTGGTTACTTCAGTGCTTAAGAGTAGAAAAGTGAAAAACCTTTATCTTATGTGCAGGTTTCTGAGCTGCTTGACACATACAACTCTCATATTTTTCTCCTAGATGGCGTCAGTCAAAATTAATTCCCTCATCATTCAAGAACATCCTTATTCTGAATTAGACAAAGCTAAAACTCTACCTTTGAAATGTGCTGAAAAACACCTGGTCAGATAATCTGAACTCTCAGATAAAATGAGACCTAATCAATGAAGAAGACAAAATACTCAGAATTTGTTGTGTGTGTCTATAGATGTCCAGCATGGTGGAATGATAATCCTTTAAGTCCTTCTGCAAACTAAGGCTACTACTATTGTAGATTAATTTTGGTAGAGTTATAATGAAGCATACTTGGGAGAATAGTCCACTCCAAAGTTAATTACCTATTGAAAGCATGCATACAAGAAATACTGATTTGAAGAATAGAAATTCAAAGGTCAAGACATACATTCAGCATTATGGTTGATATCTACATAGAGGGTCTCTTTGAGTAGACAGCAGTAAATTATGATTATAATCTCAGAATACCTTTACATCTGGTGCTATCTCCTTACAAACAACAATCTATATTTGCTTGAAAATAACACTCAGGTTGTATTGCTCGGCTGCATTCCTAGGCATCTGCCCGTCAACAGTATAATTTTGTTTTTCTTGTGCATCACTCTGAGTCTTGTTTAATGTTTGCAGAAACAGGTAGTTGTGAAGAGGTTCACCCCAGGAGAAGCTTGAAGTACTGACTCATTCTGAGACACTGAGGGAAAGGCTAGCTTGCAGGTATGTTTAGATTATAACTACACAAGGACACTAAGCTGTGAGAAACCCCTAAAAATTAGGTGGCCTTATTTTTAATGAAGATTTGATTGTGCCTTTCGGGTGTCTTAGTCTGACATTGTTTTATATTGGAAAATGGTAAATGTGTTTCAAAGTGGGATTTCCCAGAACTTCTCAGAAATTCTAGTGTCAGTTTTGAGGTGAGAATCAAAGAGCTCTATAGGACAGAGTGATACCTCCGTTTCACAGGAAGAGTTCAGATTACTTGTTCGGGTTCTGAGAGGCTTGCTGAGTTCTGCCCTCCCAACTTAACATGCATCTGCTACTTCCCATAAAGGTTGGAGGGGACTTGGGCATTCTGTGCTCTCAATCTCTTGTTAGTGACTCTTCAGTTTGCAAAAACAATTAAACTTTCACCAGATATGGAACTGGAACCTGCCAGGGAATGGAACAGAGAAAATCCCACAATTCAAAGGACTAATCTGACCACCAGGCAAAGAATATTTCTCCTGTGATTTGTCTCAATGATGAAGTCTTTTAGAGAAACACATTAGCATTTGTTTGACTCAAATACTAATTCGCTTTCTTTTCACAAAAAAATATAACTTATGTGTCAACTGCTTTGGAGAGTTCTTGAAAGCCTGAGCTTATGTGAAAGCAGACCACCAGCTCTGCCAGCTTGACCAGATTTTTCTTTACAAATATTCCAAACCAAGGCAATCTGTATTCATAGGGTAGATTTTTTTTCTGATCTCAGCAAGAACAAAATCGTGTTTTTATTTTTTTTGATCAGAGCCATTCTTTCAATACTTTCTAGTTTGTTTGCCTATTCAGATAAACCAGTGAGTCATATAGCTCCAGTGCTCTCACAAACTGATTTCTAGTCTGAAAGTTGTGTCTTTTCTCTCTGTTTACGGTTCCATAAAATAGTGATCCAACTCTAAGTCTTGCCTCACACCAACTTTCACACATAACACCAGAAAAAGGACTTTTTGAGTTAGTATCCCTCTAGAATCAACAGCCTACCTCATTTCTAGGAATCCCTAGAATGTTCATAAACAACTTACCTCCTCTTTAAATACTCTGCAAGCACATATTTAGAGAAAGTTAAGGGGATAGTTATTAATTGCTAGTATTTAAAATTAAGGGGAAAAATAAGGGGACAGTAAATACACACACACCTACTGTCACCCAGGGCAGTGTGTGTTCTTGTTCTCGTGATTCTTCTCAGCCCACAACCCATATTTTCTCATCCAAATCACAGCTTAGTAAGAAGTTTTTCAATGTAAGCACGGCCGCCATTGCTAGAGCCAATTGACACAAGGACTGCTGTGGTACGGCAGGAGTAATCACCTTTTTTGGTAACCTTTTGTCACATGCTGTGACATGAACAAACTGCTGAAGCTCAGGCTTTTCCCAGTGGGACACACCTTGCAGGTAATCATGTTGTCAGTCTGCTCCATGGCAGTTGCCAGCCCTCTGCAGACTGAGCTGCCAGGGTTCACTCTTAGATCTTTTATTTAAAACAACTGCTTGAATTTCACAGGTGCAAAAGCTTACGCACTGGAGCACTTCCTAAAAAGAGGTCTTAGAGCCACCATACTTATGAACTTTTGTGTGATTTTTTGGAGACTTCTTTTGTGAACTAGTTACTTTGTGACATGAAGACCTCCTATAAGGAGGACATACCATGCTACTAAACCTTAAAAGTCTATGTAAGATGCAGATGAGCCATGAAAACCTAGTGTGGCTCTATTTATCCTCTTAATTCCACAGTCATCTGAGAGGAAAGATACCAATTAAAGGTGAACTATACCACAGCTAAGTTTTCTTAAGGAAGTACGGTGTTCAGAATATTAGCCAAGCTTTTTTACAGCTTTGATTGTTCAGTCACGTCAGCAATTAGAAAGCAATGCCTAATAAAACTCAGTTTAGACCACCTGGTCCTGCTTTGTATAGGAGTACAACAGAGCCATTGTCATTCTTTCAGCAGTTTTCATATTTTGAGACCTGAGCTCTTTTTTTGTGCTCTTACATGTCATGAAAGTAGATGTACCTCAATAAATAGATACTGCACCTATTTAACTATTTTAAAATAAAGTCCACAGAGATGGTTTCACTTACATTACTAAATTGAGATAAACTTGATTTTTAATGAGATCTTGAAGATGAAAAATAACTCCCTTGTCTTTACCAAGATCTCAGCTGAGACAACTTACTGTTTACCTGTCCTGAGGTGAGCTTGGCTGGTGCAATATATTTACAAGCATCAAAGTTCACACCAATCCTTTAATGCAACATCATACTGTCTTGACAGATGAGCTCCTGTCACACCTGGCTTATGCAGAACATGAGTTTCAAAGCCAAAAAAGTAATGGAAATTCTTGTAACTAATAGTTCCTGTTTATACATGGCTGAACTATTCAGCCATGGAATCAACATTCAGGATGAAGTATTGCATTTTTTCAAGTCATGCACTTTTTATTTCATCTCAGCGAAGCCCATACGGCTGAGGCGTTTTTATAAGAATGCAAGCAATTTTGAGCTCTGTGGAAAATGCTGAGTGTTGTCAGATGCAGGCAGAGAAGGGCAGAAGAGAAAAAATACATTCCTTTGAATGAACTAATACAGAAGGCAATCAAGAAATATGACAATAATGAGCAATCATTCTCTCTTGCAATGTATATTTTGCTTTAAAGAGCAGGTGATGACTCCCTGAAAACAATAACACATAACATAATGAAGTCCTGTCTACATAGGGATGCTACTTCAAATATTTCAGATGAGTTGGTTTGAGCATATTTGTAGAGATTGTTTTAAAGTGCCTGGGCTTTCTATTTTGGCATGAATGAAATCCAGGCTCATCAGCTCACAGCCTTCAACTATGAGCTGCATCCAGTTTGTGAGAGGTTTGTCCCCATTTTTAAATGATTTTCCCTCATTGTATAATGTGATAAGGTTTATTTGCTGTCTGGCTCCTGAGTGCCCTCTTCTGTTACAGGATCATCTGGACTAGGTATGTTATCACTCCTGCTGAATGCTGATGGCTTCCTTTGCAATTCCAGCATGTGTGTGTTTCCCCAGGTTCACACTTTTTTTTTTGAGCAGCACCTCTTTCCCTCACCTGATACAGACTCGTGAGTTGTGTGTATTAGCACATCCAGCCCCAACTCTATGACACTGCCTCAAATATTAGGGTTTGTGACTGTTGGCCAAACTGAATGCAAGAGAGAGACATTCCTGAGAAATGGACCAGTGCCACTATAAAGCAAAATAATGCTGGCTGTTCTATAAGAACTGAAGGGATATGAACGGGACCTCCAGGACTTCTAACGGTTGAGAACAGGATAAGCTGTGACAGATTTATCCATGGGAAGTCACCACTGAACCCCATTATTGTAATTGATCCATGTGACTTACCACATCTGTCAAATGATGTCACTTCAAATAGAGAGTTGTAGAGCTAATATTTTTTTCAAACCACTAAACTGAAACACAAAGACTGAGGTTAATAAAAAGCTGTTTGAAATTCAGATAGATGGTTAGCTTGAAAATGCTGCAGAGGGAAGTATTCCTATCATGTCCTACATTATATCGTAGCTCTGCATCTCTAAGCCAGCTAGTATATGGATGTCACCACCAGCAGTGGAAATGAGCTGTATGAACCATGAGCCTCTTTCCATCTGTTTGGCACCACCTTTCCTACTGTGGTCATTGTGGTGCTCCACAAACAAGAACTTAGTCTTCTCTTCCCACCTTGCACTGCTTTACTATGCATCTGGATTTGCTGCTGCTCTTCTGCCACTCAAATAATGTGGCAGCAGCCCATGAGTTAACAGGTATACAGATTGCAGAGCAGGCATATTTATTGCAACAGTGAATGCAGAAAAAAAAGCAATAGCAAATATACTTTGGCTCATAATTTGTTCAGCATTCTTTAGCTCCTTTCACATTTTATAAGATGAATTACCCAAATTAAACATTTCAAAATGCTGAGATTATAAAACACTTATAATGAAATCTTTAGCAATATAAAATTCTTGGATTCAGGCTAATTGCTCTACAGTCTCTTCTCTTCTAGTGCACATGATGCTGACCTGTGTATGTTAACGGAAATTTAAAGACAAAGGCTGTTCTCCATTTTTACAACGCACAGAGCAAAGTAATGCAGCCTTCTTGATTTCTTATCTGTATTTAAATATATTGAATATATTTCAGTACCCTTCTATGCAATGCTGGATATCTTTCTGATTTATCCATTGTCTTTTTCGGTAAGACTATTTCTCATTTCTTGGAAACATACTTCAAGGTAACATGGCTACACAGGTGTACAAAGAACTGCAAACTCGAGTAACAGGACACATTAGCCCAGCATCTTCTTCCCTCTTTCCCATTTCAACACCAGCACAGGATTTCTACAGAAAGGAGATGTAGAGTGGGAGGCTTCTTATTTTGTTACACACTACAGGGTTCCCTGGGAACAACCACTTCCTAGGGAAGCCCAAACTGGAAAAACAGATGGCAATGACATTCCAAAATTGATTAAAAATATATGAAACCTATGATCATTGGCACTGAGTTCAGTGTAGAAATAACAAATATTTGCACTTTGTCCCTGGCAACGAAGGCACTATTACGATGAGGAACATGAGCCTTACAAGCTGCTTGATGCATAAAAAATATTTTAAAAAAAAAGGGAGGATAGGAAAGAGAAGTTCAAGAATTCTGTGAATGGATTTCATCACTGGAGCCAGAAGGCAAAAAAAGAGCTGGAAGGATGCTTATGACAACTTGAGTTAATTTGCACATGAATTTAGGACAAGGAAAAAAAGCATACAGGAAGATATGTTTTAAATTGTGCAAAAGAAACAGTCCTCTGAAGAATATTAGGATGCTATACCATTACTTCAAGTGCACTCTGAGGTTAACAAGAGTAGTGGGAGCTTCCTGCATGTCCTCACTGCACCCTTTCCGGAAAACAGGAGTGAATTCTGCTTTTATTTGCAAAGATAGGTGCACTTAGCAGATAAGGTGTGCTGTGCCAGTTATGCTGAATGAGCAAAGGTTTTAATGAAAAAAATGGCTGAAGCATCCCATTGAAGTTCTCATTTTCCCCTACTAATCCAAAAACACTAACAAAGATACATCTCTCTCATATTTTTGGCTATAATACATTTATTTTTTCACCACTCTATTCTCTCATTTAAGAAAGAGCAGGACAAATCACTCATACTGTTTCCCTGAGCAGCATGGGCACCTCCTTCTCCTCTCATGGATTTCCAACAAGATGGGGTGAACATCTGCCACTTGCAGTAAATATTGATCAGAGTGTTTGTAAGGCTTCTCCACCTGCCTTTCATTTCCTAACAAAGCCCTTCATTATTATTCTACAGTTAGTCAGAACATTCTATGTCTGTGAACTTTCTGTAGCAATCAGTGAGGCTTTGCAAAAGCTTGAAAAAATAATTTTTTCTACTTATGAAACCCAACTTTCAGTCTGAAATACAGGCACACACATCCAGCCACTGCTGCCAGCACAACTCGGGATCACGAACTTTCCAAATCTTGAAATATTTTCTCAGCACCAGCACACTGAAACATACACGTGATACATATTTCCAGCACACACTGGTAGAATTACCATTACCAATCCCAGTGAGCAGAAAGCACTGAGGCACTAATGTGATGGGTACACATGTCCACATGTAGAGATGCTGCTGTATTTTTTTTTTGTTGCTGAATATTCAGACTGCAGTCTGTACAGATGCTTTGCAACCTTTACCATCCTGAAGTTCCAGCATAATTACTCTATCCCAATCGGGCATGAAAATTACTTGATCTCCACCTCCTCCTCCTCCTCTGCCAGTATCGGTACACCACCATCATGACTCTTTCTAATCCCTTTTCAGGACACTCCATAGTCGATCTCGGCCATATTTCCTCCAAACAGGTTGGCAGCCATTTGAAATGTCTGTGACATAACACTGGAGCAGTCCTGAAAATAGCTTGGTTTCACCCCAAACTGCAGAATCCTGGTAAGTTGTGATATTTATTCCACAAGACAGTGACTTTGGAACATGGGCCGGGAGAACAATTTCCGAGCACTTGGTGTGAATAAATGCACAACAGAGTGTATGCAACGAATCTCAGGCAACTGGGGGCTGAACCACAACAAATAGATCATATGGATAGACATTTTTACTCTAGTTATTACATTTTTACTCTGGTTATTACATTACCAAGAAAATGTATTTTGAAAGCTTTTCTTTATAGATGTGGAAATGATTTTTTAGAAGTAGCCCTGCTGAGTTATCAGACCCATTTAAAACAAACAAACCCCAAATATTTCCAAAAGTAAATAAGGTGTCAAAATGCAGTTATGTAACCTCATGAAAGCAACTACAATTACTTAAAAGTAAGAAAATAATTAATTTAAGGAACATCTTAAAATGGCCACATGATGTCCTAGTGAATTCTTACCAGATCAAAGCAGAGGTGGAGGCAGGGCTATGGGTAATCTTCAGCCACATAGATTTTTTTCCTATGTTATTGAATGCTGCTGAAATTTGTGTTCATGCAGGTTAAGTACAGGGATTTGAACAGACTTTTACTAGGGGAAAGACTCCTCAATACTGGATTAAAAGAAATCACAGAATTCACTTAATATTAATAGCCTCAAATCTGAGCCAAAATTGCAGCTTTTAGTTATACTGTTTTTAATCTTTCTTTCAAGTCAGAGTACTCACTTTTATTCAACAGGAAATGTTGGTGAGTATTAGGTGTGTTAACAATTACATTACTTATATAAGTTACTTACATAATAGGTACTTTTGGAACCTAATGGTTTATACCAGTTGATATGAAAATAATGAACTTTTTGAGAAATACATTATTTTATATATATACATTCACCCGAATTTGATTAATATGTACTAATTAATTTTACATTAATATATGATGTATATATTACAGTTGAAGATATATGCAGAGAAACATGGAGTTTCTCACATATATGGGTGTTTATATTCCATTGTATGTTTTGTTTTCAAAAGAACATAACATTTGGGTAGGACCCCTGGTGGCCTAGTGGTTAGCATGCGGGACTCTCACCGCTGCGACCCAGGTTCTGATCCCAGTCCCCCGGGCAGATGGAGCCCGTTAGCCCTGTGAGGCCATCCATCTATGAGAAGGTCACTCTAAACAAACCTACGTCCTGAGGACTTCACTGCCATTGTCCAAGCTTGCTTGGCCCCGGCAGATGAACCTTAGGATTAAAGGGTGGGCTCAGTTCAGCGCAGGCTGTGTCTCACCTAAAAAATCCATTGCGCAGGCTGGAAAGGTAAAAGACCTTTCCCAAAATCTTCGTTCGCGAAGACTGGCCATTATTATTATTACATTTGGGTTCACATGTCAAGACTACTACTGAAAACAGCATTTCCTTTTACGTGGACCTGGGTCTTGCCTACAACAAGAAATAGTAAAGTTAATTCATAGAGCTTTCCTGTGGTGAATATACACATATCACTCTAAAATTTAATATACACAAGGTAATGTTAACTTGTTTTAGGAAGGACATAAGCTATGTCAACACAAGTTTCACTGTTAGTGGAATGGGCATATTGTACAAGGCTGTACTAATATAACTCTTCAAACTAAGAAACAAAAGTAATGAAGAAAAAATTCATACCACTGAACATAATAGTTGTGCCAGTGCATTCAGTGACGAACACCTCTCTTTCCTACCAATTGCTGAAATAAGTAAATTTCTCGGGTGAATATCGTCATGGCAAAAGTAGTAATAGCTTGTGCACTAGAGATAATTGATAATTAAACACCCAGGATGAGGCTGTCTGTGGAGAGCTATGAATGTTGAGGCAGGAGATTCTTGAAAAAAAAAAAAAGAGCCTTTTTGGCAGGGGAGAGATCCTCTCCTTGAGATTTTTCAAAAAGTTGTTTTTGTCGAAATTGCTTACAGCCGTATGCATGAAAATTGAAATCACCGGGATTTTTTAAGTGACTAGAGGAAACCAAGAAAACACCTTTTTCTGTGCCTTTGGCTTGTGCTCCTAAAAGGGAATGAACTTGGAAAATAACAATAACAATAGCAGCAACAGAAGTCTGTTCAGCAAAGGGGCAGCGCCATGTGAGCGCCTGCTGCCATGGGAAAGCCAAGCCAGAGCACAGAGAAGCACCGGGCAGGCGAGGGAGGAGTGGCCACCCGGAGTGGGGCCTGCCGGGACGCGAGCACAGTGCCCCGGGAACCAAAACGCTCCAAATTTTGCAACTTCAGAAACAGAAGCAGCGAAGCAATCCTGTCACACCAGGTCTTCGTGCTTGGAGCCTGTGAGGATGGCGGGGGGGAAACGACGACACAAAACCAACCAACCAACGAAAAAGAAGAAAAAGGGGAAAGAAGGGAAGGGTAAGGGGGGAGGTGGCGGGGGTGCCCTGCCGGGGAACAGGGCTGGCTGGCGGGCTGGGGCGATGGCAGGGGCGGCACCGGGGGGGGGCTGGGACAGCGCCCGGGCACAGTCCCGCTCTCCCGGAGTGTGCGGGAATGGAAGCTGCCCGTGCCGAGTTCCGGGGGAGCCGCATCCAGCCCCAATCGAGCCACCGCGACAGCCGCGTCAGGTGTTCCCACATCCCATCCCCTGACGCTGTAGCCAACAACCGGCAAAGTCCGACGGGGAGGCACACGGGGTCGCTTCGACCTGGCGGGGAAAAAACCCCCAAAGCAACACCAAGGGGAGGAATAGAACAAATACAGAAATGAATGAATAAATAAACGAATGAATAAATAAATAAGTCCACCCAGTGCTTGAAAACCGCGCGGTTTAACGTCCAGCAACAAGTGGCTGAAATGACAACAGGTTTCCGGCTGCGGACTCCCCGGAGCAAGGCCCGGGACAGCCGTGTCCGGCCGGCGGCTCGAAGTCCCGGCCCAGCGGAAGGGCCGACCCCCGCCCCGCCCCGCCCCGCCCCCGCCTCCTCCCGCGCTGCCCACACTGCCCCCGCCTACAAGCCCCGTCATGCCCCGGGCCCGTCGCGGCCGCTGTCGTCGCGTCCCGTTCCCCCTCCTGCGCCGCACCCCGCCCACTGCCGGCGGCGCACGCGCAGCGGGGGCGGCGTCCGGGGCAAGTCTCCCCAATGTAAGATGGTGGCCGGGCTGGCAGCGGAGCGCCCCGAGCTCGGAGACCGCCCGTCCCTCGCGTAAAGGTCGTCGGAGCAGCCGCCTGAGCGCCTGGCCGGCCGCCGCCGCACGTCCTGCACCAGGAGTGCCGCTGCGGGTTTCTCCCCTCCGCTTCTCTCTCTCTTTCCTCACCGCCTCTCTCCTTCCCTCCCCACCCTTCTCCTCCTTTTCCCCTCGCCTCCTTCCCTGCACGCTCACTCACCCACCCGCCCGGCCGCCCCCGCCGCGCCGGGCAGCCCGAGCGGGGAGAGCCGCGCACACGCACCGCGGGCCGGGCAGGCAGAAGGAAGGCGGGTGAGTGCGAGCTGAAGGCCGGGCCGGGGAGGGAAGGAGGGAGGGAGGGAAGCAGAGGCGAGGAGGAGGCGGGGGGGAGCCGGGCCGCTCTGGCTACGAGAGCGCCGCGGCTTCACCGGGACGGCGCAGGCCGCAGCCCACCCGGCGGTGCAGCCCCGGGGCCGGGGGACGCGCCGGGCCGCTGCCGAGCGCCCGGGGCACCGGGCCGGGCGGGGAGGGCGCGGGGGCGAGCGGGCCGCTCCTCCTCCCGGGGGGCGCCAGGGAAGGGGCTCCCTCGGTGCCGCTGCCCGGAGGAGGCTTTATTTATCTCCTCCTCACCGCCCCGGCGTGGCGGAGCCCTTGGGCCGTGCCGGGCCACCGGTCAGGGCCGCGGGGGGCCGGTGCCCCTGGAGCCGCTCGCCTCCGTCGGGGCAGGCCGGCGCGGCCGGGCGCGGGCATCGCGGCGTGATTCATTTGGAATTTGCGTGGAAATTTCCTTTCTCCCCTTCTTCCTCTTCCACGGAGCCAGGTTCTATTTCTTCTTGTGATGTGCACTTTTTTTTCTGGGAAGAGAGAGAGAGGCAAACAGATGGTAAATGGCAGCCTCTTAATTTTGATGTTATTTTGGACAGTCCATGTAGCCTCCAGAGATTTGCCAGTCAGTAAAATAACCTATGTGTAACTTTCCGTTTCCTACTTACAAAATCCTAGAAGCTCTTTCTGTTTCGTGCATTGGCAGAAGCAAATGGCAAGGCTGCATGCAGGCTCTCTCCTGTTCCCAGCGATGGTCGTACAGCTCTACCTGCCAGTCTGAAAGGGAGCTGCCGGTGCCTTCATCTGTACAGTGAAGGGGAGGGAAAATACATTAGATAATTATCTTAAAATGTTTGGTTACTGTACCAGAAAGGATTTAATAGTCCATGGCTTGTATATTTCTGTCAGTGTGGTAATACCGAGTATGTAGTTCATAGGAGAAGCAAGTCTCTTCAGAGCATATGTTAATGGAAGCAAAACCTATCAGCTAGTTAAAGCTGTGGAAACTCTAGGCCTGCAGTTGGCTTGCTCCTGTTCAAAAGTTGTAGAAGTTAATGTTGACTAGTCGCATGTTTACTGAGCCTGTACAGGTTTCTAACTCGCTGTGTTTTAACTGTCTGTATTTTGTTTTAGCTTTGAAATGTCTTGACTTGCACATCCCTGTACTTTGACTTCATATTCTTGCTGTCTGGCATTAAGAGAAGAGAACTCATACTGAAAGATGAATATGTAGAAGAAAGAAATTTTTTCTAGCCCCTTTCACTGCTAAAAAAGGAAAGGGAAAAAATAAAATATAGGCTTATGAAGAGCAGGGAAGAAAGCAGCTGTTTGACTGAAGAGGATGAATTAGTTTCAGATGGCTTACAAATACTCAAATATACTCCTAGTTTCTTAGCATCTCTGTAATAATGTAGTGGTCTAATGCATGGTCAAGGATTCAGCTGTGCTGTACCTTAGGCTTTTGGAATTCTGTGATAGAATTTCCATTTCATAAACAAGATGAATCCATGCAAGTGTTTAGAAATGCCTGGCAGTTAAACTTGGCTGAATTGCAAACTAAGCTCATTTTAGGGGAAAAGATTGTTTTGAAAAGGAGAAATACAGTGATAAAATAATATGTTCTTTTATCTTGCGTGTTTCTTCAGGTACCTCTTTATTAGCTTTTAAAATGATGAGTGTTGGATCCTAACAGCTTTTCTCTTTACAGGGAAAAGATGGTGAGTGTCTGTCAGGAGTAGTGCTCTACTAGTTTCTTGGTACCTTTTCCTCAAAGTTCAAGAACATCCTTAGAATGCCAACTAAATAAAAGGCTTGGACTAGAAAAGCTGGTGAGAGAGTATACTCAAGACTGTGGCTTTTTTATTTAATTACAAATATTCTTTATGTACAGAGACAGGTTGTCCTTCATGGCTATTGTTCAGGAAAGTTGGGATGTTTTTTGTGAGTTAAATGTTTTGAAATTACTCTGACCAAGATCTTAAGTATGGGCCCTGAAGGCTTAACTCTGGTAACTATTTCTCAAAATTTTACCTGTTTCTTTGAAATAAATGAGATTATTTCAAATAGACTGTTCTGTAAGCACAGGTAACTGTTAAGTGGCTGATTGTAGATTGCATCTTAGGCCTTGGTTGTTTTGGTAAGATGAGGCTGATCTATAGGCCTTAACACATGCTGGAAGGAAATTACTTGCTCAGCAAGACTGCTAGGATCAAGGGTGCCTAAACTTTCACGTGGTGAATTAGTGCCTTAGGTTGTACGAATCACCTTTTGTCCCGCTTGCAGTTGTGCAGTATTGGTGAGATAACTTGACTAGGTGCATATGTGAAAGACTGCATGACTTACCTTGCTTCAGTGTCCTGAATGTTTCCTCTCTTTCAAGATGTTTATGCTTTTTTTTTTTTCCCCAGCGTATATCTGGTTTGTCTCCTTTGTTTTGGATGGAAACAGTGTGAGGAGCTAGAGCTCTATAAATAAATAGAGCCCTTATCTCTTTGGGCCCCACTCTTCTGGTTCTTGGAGAATAGTCTAGGAATTTTTTCCTTTCAGGAGATTGATTAACATTTGTTAACATTTTAACAACTGTAAATGCTTTCCGGGCTTGGAAAACTAAGTATAGTAGCAAATGGTTTGGCGTGGCTTGAGATGCTGCTCAGACCTTCTGGTTCTTCCTGTAAGCAAGCTGGGAGGGCAATGTAAGTGTTAAGCAGAAAACAGGAATATAGCCTCTGTAAGTAAATACATATATGTGTTTTTGCATTAAACTGTTTGGATCAGTTAGGTGCATGTTTTTATTAAACTGGATTTTGTTCTGTTGTACCAGGAACTTTGATATGCTTGGTTTTGTCAGGTGGCATTTTTCTTGTATGATCTTGAAAAGGGAATCTTTACAGTTTTCTTATTTTAAAATTGTATCAAAGATCATACTAATTCGGTGAGCATTCAGAATACATGTTTTTGACTTCTGGCTAGCTGTTATTAGACTGGCTCCAACAGCTGAAAGAAAAGAATTAGTGTTTAAACTATTGATTTCCTCATAGTACTAAGATGAAGTAGGTTTTGTGGCTATATGTTTTATTCTTTCCTTCCACTTCACTATTCTGGGAACATGACAACTCCAGGATATTTCTTGTAGGAGTCTATTATTTAAATGGAACTTGCAAGTGTTTTCTAAACATGCATGTACAAAATAAGGTATTCATAAACTATCTCATGCATGTGCTTTAACAACTGGAGGAAGCCTGCATCCAAAGCCATAAGGAGAATACAGGCCAAGAGAATGATGCTCCTGCTCATCCTTTTCTGTGTAACCTGAAAGCTGTGTACTGTATTTTTATTCTGGAGCAGAATATGTTAGTGTTAATTTCATAATGATTAATCAATAATTTGTGTATTTTTATCAGGTACTTCATCTGTTACTCATTTTCAGATTGGGGGAAAAATAGGTTGGGGTCAGCATAAGGGGGATTTTTTTTATCTTTTAGTCACCAAATTAAAAATAAAGGTGGATCAAGCAAACATGCTACTGAACTTGGTGGAAGGCGAACTTGGATCTTGGCTAAGGCTTGTTCTCTGATCAGTGCTGTCTGACTTTGATCTGGTTCTGTTTTCTTGCAAGGGAAGAAGGGAAAACTTCATCTGTCTAGGATCTAACATACTGTGATTCCAACATCAGTTTTTTCTATCTTGATGTTGTCTTGAGAGGAATAGATTCCTAATATGGAGTGGGTTCTAGTTGACCACAAAATCTGATATAAAGCAATTGTATTTCTGCTTGAAGTGGGATGGAGGGTCCCCTGTTGTAGTGCAGGTCCTTGGACTTGCCCTCTCTGGGCTTTGAGTATTTGACTCTTCACAGCTTAGCAGTCCTTGATTGCTGGAAGTTAAAGTTGCAATATTTTCTATGTAATCAATTG